ACACCGATGTAATGATATGTGTACAACAGCTTGTTGCTGCCACCATTAATAAATTAATAAAAAAATAAATAAATAAAAATAAAGAAAGGATTTAATAATCAAGTAGAACTGGACAACTAATTATTGAAACAAGTTGTGGAAATAAATTTTTTTTTTCAGCGGTAACTATAATGTTTATGTAGTAGAAATTTTCACTTAGAGAACTGGGAAAATCAGTAATCTTCTTTTGACATAAGGAACTGAATCTGCTTGATGATGTGATGATGTGATCTCTACTCTGTCTGTCTCTATCTGTCTGTTTCTGTCTCTGTCCGTCTCTGCTAATCATATAGCAGCACTTGTATATGCACAGTACATTTTTGGGTATTCCAAACAGACCAAACCCCCAATTAGTTGGGATTATTGGGTTGTACTATATCATTTTTAAATTCTTTATTGTTAGTTATTTTTCTATCTTCTGTATCAATTCTTCCACTATTTTCTTACTACATTCTTGCCTATTATAGTACAGTTGTCTATATAAAAACTAATTCCTAAGGATTCTTAATTTTCTTCATTTATGAATAAACATGGATTACTTTTTAAGGTTGTATTGAAGTAATGTTGGACATAATTTGGCATACCAGCACCCTCCAACTTCTAGTAGACCATACAAACTTTTTTAAGTTTCAAAACTGTATCGCTTCCTATATGCATTCCTTCGAGAGGTTTCATATACACTACTAATGTACCATTGAGGTATGCAGTCTCCACATCAATAAATCTTACCTCACAGTTTTCCCATTGCTGTTAATGACAGGAGTGTTCTGAATGTCTCCCTTCTGCCCGAACTGTAGCTATTCTCGAAATCTCTTCCCTCTACTTGTCTGGATTCATCCACTTCTAATCTGGCTTAAATGTAATTCCTTCTGCTGTTATGTTCTTATACACCCATTTACTGATTAAAATATTGTCCGTTTCTGGTGCTAAACCTCCTCCCATTTCTTGTATTGCTTTCTCGCACTAACGTAAGAAGAGTAAGTTATGTAATTGTGCGCCAGAAAACTGCGAAAACTCTTACTACCGGATCCTGGTAAGGAAAAAGTGGATAAATCCAGTTGATAAATATGGATAATAATTCCTGTAAGATGTAGAGTAGCCGGAATCCGTTTTGTAGGTCCTCCATACTGAAAATTCGATTGACGACAAAACATCTGCCTGTCTCTCTTACTGCCTGTATTTCTGCCTGCCAGCGTGTCTCTGTCTGCCTGCCTGTCTGTGTACACGATTTATGTAACTTGATTTTGTTATCAGTTTATATACCGCCGTCAGTAAGATCATCTTGTTAAAAGTATAAAATTTTATAATGTTTGATTTATATTATGTCAGGTCAAGGTGTAGCTAATAATTAAGTAGAAATGGATTACAATTAAAATATTTATATGGATAATATTTTGAATAATGTATTTGAAGGTGGATTTGATTGTAAATTAATATTAATTGATTAGGGCTCTAGAATGTGTACATATCACCCGTCGCTCCGTTTTAAGATGAGATAAGTTGTAACATAGAAGATGTGTCAGAAGGTGTATCTGGAATGGCAAAGTAGGGCTTGGTAGTAGTGCGATCCATTTACATTGGAGGGGTTTTGTGCAAATCAAATATTTTGATTGTATAAATATTAAGTAATTAAATATTTAAGTTAAATTTTACAGTGATGTAATTATGAAAGAATTGAAATGATTATTTGGGAGAAGAATATTTGTACCTTTTGTATCAGGGTTTGTTAAAAATAATTAATTTATTTTATGTTCTTGCATTTGGGAAGAGCTATTTATTTATAATTTGTTACATAAATATATTGAACTAATAAATAGTAGTGAAATGTTATTCGTTTCTTAAGATGAAAATTTAATTTTGTTACGTAATTATGATTTGATGTGCGTGTGTGTGCGTGCGTATGTGCACGCGGCCTTGTGTGTGTGCGTGCGCGCGATATTTTATACTTAATAATTTGGGGGTACGCTTGTCTGTCTGTGTCTCGTTCTACCTGCCCGTGTCTCTGTCGGTCTGTCTCAGTGTATCTTTGTCTGTTTGTCTGTGCCTGCCTGTCTCCGCCGTCGCCTCCACCTCCATCGTCACATCTTCCCCTGGTCGTTACTTTCCATGTAGATGTGTCCAATACCTGGTCATGCAAGCACTGTAACTTCCATACACCTCTGTAATTCAAATGAAGGACGACCTGTCCCGTCCCAAGTCATTTGGCCCGAGCCTATGATTGGGGTCCACGAAAAGGCCCTCGAAAACGTTACATGTCCTCAGTTAACCGCGATTAATGTCCCATATTCTTCTAATGCTCATCTTTTCGGAGCATATTCCTTGAAACAATCACTCTAGCATTTTTGTACTTGGCCTTGATGGCCTGTCCAAGTTCCACATACTGATTAATAGTGTCGAACACAGGTTGCTGTTTCTGCTCGTTTGTACCTACATGAACAAGTACCACTTGTATTTCGTCGTTTTTTGTTCGGATTTTTTCACTACAGAGATCATTTTCTCGATGTCAATTCCAGGGAATAAAGAAACATCTGCTCCTTTTTTCTTCAACCCACCTTGGCTGTGCCGCAGCATCGAGTCGCCGGTCACCTCAACTTTTCCGGTATACGGAGCATCTGACTGAAGACTCACTGGTGTTCAGCCGCACATTTCTCGCCTCTCATGTGGGGCATCTTGTTCTTCCAACTCCTTGATTTTTAGCGTCAGTTCTCCAATATATGTATGGGCCTGAGGCAGATGTGCTTCCAATCTGCGTATTCTCCAGTCCCTCCTATCACACTTGGAGCATGTCTCCACAGCAGCACAGCAGAGCACAACACCGCCACCTATCGAGCAAGAATATGCCGTTTGCCCGGCCTGGGCGGATGCGCGCAGCCCACGCGCCCCCGATACAAAGCGTGGACCCAATGAAACTTTTTTTTAAAAAAATTTGTTTTCAGGATTCTGTTGGTGCGATGGGTTTGACCTTGAACGGAATTGAGAAGTCCCCTGTTGAAATACTCCCAGGATTCACTGTCGTCAAAATTGCTTCTGGCTCTGATCATCTGGTTATGCTAACCAATGAAGGACAGCTCTTCACTTGCGGTTGCGGAGAGCAGGGCCAGTTGGGTCGCATTCCAGAGCGAGGAGCAAATCGCAAAGCACGGCAGGGCCTGAGTATGTATACCATGTTTTCTTTTCTTTTGAGACCTCTTCAAATGGCATATTATTGTATACATATTTATTGATACACCTCTCCCAACAAGTTTATAATAAACTAGAAAAATACCTGGCATTGCCCTAGTTTTCTTCATATCTAACCCTTGTGATAGAGGGAAAACATACAGTTTATATAAAGCACAGAGTTTAAGATTATTATTTTTAATGTTATTGGTTCAAATTTTTATTTTATTTTATTTTTATTTATATACATATAATTACAGGCAATCGCCCAATTATTAAATATCATTTACATTATCATTTATATTAGTGTTATTAAAAATCATTTAGTAACAGGTTTTTATAAGTTTTTTAAATTGATAAGGTGAACAAAATAAGTTAATGCGGTTACAGTTGGCACTTCTACACATTTTC